TGCTGCGACGAGGACCCGTGCACCAGCTCGCTCGACGGTGATTGTCCTGACGACAAGCTTCACCCGGGCAGCTTCAGCGCTACTAGCTACGGAGATATCCCACCTCAGGATTGCTCGTCCTCGTCTGGTTCGTCGGAGTGGTACACCTGCAACACGACGATGCCACCGTTCATCGGCTGCTGCGAGACCAACGCGTGCCAGAACAATGGGTGCTCAGATGCCAACCTGGTCCAGGCCAGGTTGAGCGACAACGAGACTGATGTAAGCAACGGGGGAATGTTCTCTTGCCCATGTGGAAGGGGGGGGAGTCGCCTCGGGATTTCTCCTCCTGCTTGCTCGTTCCCCCCCAACCCCATCCAAAAAGAAAAAAAAAAAAGAATCCGCTGTGACATTCAACGATAAATCGCAAAATACCCTAGCTAGAAGAGCAGCGGAAACTAACCCTCAAATCCCCGAACACATAGGCTTCCGCCTTCCTGCAACCGCCAACCTCATCCACCACATCGTCAGCTTCTTCAGGCTCGGCGACGCTGACATCGAGTCCCACATCGACGAGTAGTTCCGGAGCAACCAGCAGCAACGACGCTAACGCGAGACCGTCGTCGTCGTCGTCGCCGTCGTCCTCGACGGGACTCATCGTCGGGCTCAGCATGGTCGGCGTCGTGATCCTGCTCGCCGTGCTCGGGGGCTACCTCTGGTGGAAGAGGCGCGAGAGGAAAAAAGAGGAAAGAGATTCGGAGCAGCAGCGGAACGAAGGGGCCAAGACGGAGCCGATGATGGGGAGATCGGCGGCGGTGGCGACGGCGCAGGGGGGAGGAGGTGAGGGCTATAATAAAGTTGGAGGTAAGTATGTTGTGGTTGTGTTGCTTATATTCATCGTCATCTCTAGGCAGTCAATGCCCCCCCCCCCCCCCCCCCCCCTTTTCTTTTTTTCTTTCTTTTTTCTTTGCACCCCAGAGGATCGCGCGACATGGGGGAGAGCTGAACTAACGTACGTACCTAACTTACCTTGAATCTTAGATAACATCTCCCCAACGCCGTCCTCAACGGTAGTATCCTCGTCGTACATGAAGCAGATGAGCCCGCCGCCGCCGCAGTGGCAGCAACAGCAACATCTCGGAGGCGGAGGTGGAGGTAACGGCACCGATATCAACCGTCATCTCTCGCAGCTCTCGGAGCTCAGCACGGAAGACTGGCGGGACGGCGGGCCGAATTCAACGTCGACGCATCTGCAGACGGTGTCCGAGTTGCCGGGAAGCGAGGTGTTGCCTCAGACGAGAGGAGGAAGGGGAGGAAGCGTCATTGAGTAGACGAGGTGATTTATTTGGGGGGAGGGGTTCATTTTTACCATGATAGAGAGTGAGGTTCTAACTGCCTTTCGTGAGTTTCTTTTCTTTCTTCTTCTTTTCGTGTTATAGCGATCTCTTCTTCGTATGATATCCAGGTGGTGGGTTTTCTCTTCAACTGTATATACCCATTTTTCTCCATATCGATATAAATTCTTTAATACGGATGGAAAGTCGTTCCGTGATGGCCGAATCGTATTGCTTGTTTTTCGGGTTGTGTTGCAAGTCCTTCCTTTGAGGGGTACTATGATAGAGGGTGGTTCATCAGCATGGCGGGCGTCTCGGACGTGAATATACCTAGTATATGATCTTATTTACTGGTCAACAACCAGACCAGTAATAAGGCACGCATGGAACCCCCGGTACCTTCGCGACCCATTGTCGAGATCCCATGACTCCAATGCTTCTACTGCAGCCGCCGGGGGGTTAAGCGGTTGGTCCTTCCCGATGGATGAAGAGCAACAAATCACCAGAGCTCTCTGCTCAATACCTAGGTAAAGACCTGAGTGAACAATACATACTTAAGTACCCAGCTTGAGTTCACGTCTCTTCATAGGTAAGTTACCACGTCTATAGTTTCACCGACAATGACGTTACGAATCAAAGACTGATGGAAATGGGAATTTACAGCCAATACAAACGCCGATGCCGAGACCCCGATGGACACCGATGCTAGCCCCGGCCAGCCGGCTGCCCCGGAACAGCGCCTGAGAGGGCTGAGGGGGCCCCCTGCCGCATTGCCTGGGTACGGCATAGGCCGCTAAAGAAAGCGAGCCAATGATAGTCGCCGTATAAACTCCGACTCCCAAGGTTGACGACGATGAAAGTCCCAAAAGGTTGTTCCGGACCCCGAGCTGTCATGATGAGAGCAGACGGGTTCTCTCTACTCGGGCTTTCTCTCATATGATGGTTTGGTCTTCAAGTTTGTCGCGTTTGATTGCGCCTTTTTCCCCCCTTCTTTCTTTTTTCTTTTTCCCCTCCCCATGTATATATTCCCACTCTCTCGGACAGCACCTAAATAGGTAGAGTGGTGGTAGGTTATACAAGAAAAAGCCACATGGACGCGGATCGCAAAGGCTGTGACGTTAACTGTCTCGCGATGAAGAACGACCACATAAGATTTTGAGTTATTAAACCACCAGAAAACAAAAAACAAAAAAAAAAGAAGAAATATCTGTCACTTCGAAACATATTTCTTTTTCGCTCTTGGACAACTCTACAGACGACAAGCTCATATTCGTCCCGGTTCATTTCCCAAGGTTCCCCGACAGCTAGGAGTCATGCCACTGTCTACCAGGTCCGGGGAGCAGACGCCGCTGCTCGGCGCCGAGAGCAGTGCCGTGGATGTCGGATCGGGTGAGCGCTTCCTGTGTTGTCTGCCCCTTTGGTCAATCCCACATATACCCAGTTGAAGTTGAAAAAGAAGAAGAGGAGGGAAAAAAAACGACGACGATCCGACTCAACCAACCCCCCCTCCCCCAATCTAAATTAATATCCTTCCTTAACTTAGCTAACCTAGGCCATCCGCCCCCTTACAGCCAGCCCCTCCTCCTCGTCCTCCTCGTCCGAACAAGCGCACCGCACGCGCCCCGACACGATCGCCACGACGATCATCCCAACGATGACGAGCACCACGGCGGTGGCGCCGCCGCCCCAGGCCATCGCGCACCGGGGCTTCAAGGCCCTGGCGCCCGAGAACACGCTGCTGGCGTTCCGGGCCGCGGTCGAGGTGGGCGCGCACGCCATCGAGACGGACCTGCACCTGACGCGCGACGGCGTCGTGGTGCTGTCGCACGACGGGACCCTGCGCCGCTGCTTCGGCGACCCGGCGCGCGTGCGCGACGTCGCCTGGGACCACGTGCGCGCGCTGCGCACCCTGCGCGCCCCGCGCCAGCCCATGCCCCGGCTCCTCGACCTGCTGGCGCTGCTGAACGAGCCCGGCGCGGAACACGTGTGGGTCATGCTGGATATTAAGGTGAGTGGAGTGGAGTGGGGTGAGTTTTTCGTGCTGGGATGGAATGAGTTGGGTTCGGGGAAGATTCTGAGGTGGGCGAGGAAGGAAAAGGAGAAAAAAAAGGAAAGAAAGAGAAAGAAAAAAAGAAAGAAAGAAAGGGGGTTGTTGGTAACGACTAGATTGGTGAACGGCACCGGACAGGCCAGGCGAGAATGGACTATATCAGAAGGCAATATTCTACGAACTGTGACTAACTCGGAGCTCTCTCCTTTTTTCTCTGCAGTTAGACGACGACGGCGACGAGCTCGTGCGGAGGACGGCCGAGACGCTGGCCTCGGTGCCCGGCGTGCGGCCGTGGTCTGAGAGGATAACGCCGTGTTGCTGGAACGTATGTCCCACCTGAATCTAGTTACTTCTCCCTTCCACACGCGCCCCTACGGTTTCCCCTATTTTGCCCCCCTTTTCTTCGGCATTCCGAACAAAAAGGGGCAGAGTAGAGAAAGAGAGAGAAATGAAGAAACAGCAAAACCCCCAAGACTGACACATCGGCATGACAACAAGGCAAAATACGTCGACCTCTGCAAGAAGTACCTCCCCGAGTTCCGGATCGCGCACGTCGGTTTCTCGACGTCGTACGCGCGGTCACTCCTAGGAGGAGGAGGAAGCAGAGGAGGAGGAGGACCACCCGACGAGCAAGACGACAAGCCTACGCACTCGCCTCCGGACAGCAACGGCAGCGGCGGCGATGTCTCCTCCATAAGCATGTACAGGTACGCGCTCACGCTGCCCCTCGTGGGCCGGCGGTTCCGGCGCGACATGCGGCGCCGCGGCGTGCCCGTGCACGCCTGGACCGTCAACGACGAGGACTGTATGGAGTGGTGCGTGCGCGAGGGGCTGGCGGGCGTGATCACGGACGACCCCAAGAAGTTCCTCGAGGTGTGTGCTGGGAGAGCGGGACGAGTGGATGGTGGGGGCGGGGGCCGGGGGAAGGAAGGGCTGGGGAAGAAGGAGGGGAAGAGGGAGATGTTGACAGTCGGCCGGGTCTATAGGGGTGCGAGGTTCTGCCTAGAACTTGTGTTGTTCGTGATGCTGTATATGTTTCATCTGGTGATGGGTCTGGTCAAGCATGGGCGGCTGAGGCCGCATTTGTAGATATATATATATATGTATATATATATGGTTGGTTATTGTGGATAATGTAATCGTGCTTTAGACTATCGTTGTCTGTGTATATATATGTGTGTGTGCGAGAGGGGAGGACGGGAGGGGGGGTTGAGAGAGAGACAGTTCCATGTGAATGCTGTTGCTGTCGATACGAGACCGGGGGAAGAAGACGGGTTTTGAAAGGTACATGCATGTACACACGCGATTGGGTTGACAGACTGTCTCTATGAGTATGCCATAAGTGGCAGGGAGGAACGAAGGTCTCGCAATGGATGATTGCTTATGGTTAAGATCAACGGGTGTGTCGGAATGACCAGTATAGTATCCATAGTCAACGCAGTCAGGATTGGAGGTGAGCATATGAATGAAATCTAACTAGGTAAGTACTCAAGGAAAGGACATACATCTTGATATCATATCGCAGCTACCGACTCCTGGCCTTGGGGTTCCTTCGCCATATCCTGGAAGGTACCCTAGGATGAGGAGAGTTTCTTTATGTACCATATTATCTAGTCACCTGAATAAAAATTACTGACGGCCTGGTAGCTTAATGGTAAAAGCAAGGGTTGGGTAGGAGCCTGTTGACGAGGAAGGCTCCCGCACAAGTCGATCCGGGTTCGAGTCCCGGCTGGGTCTTCTCTTTTTTCTTCTTCTTTTTTCTTCCCATGATGAAGCTGGAAAGCGTACATAATACCATGTTCGTCTTTTTTGGGACATTCATGGTAAGGGTCGGTTGATCCATGTTTCTTTTGGGCGTCTTACCTTCTCCGGGCATTATGGGTAAGTGTCATGTTAGCATAGAGAGTATCTCAATGTCATAATGAGCAGGGTTGAATCGTTTTGTTATCACAAATGGTAGTGACATGATTGCTGCAGAGCTGGCTTTTATAGACGTCTCGAATCTTACAAAGCCCTCGTGTAGGCTGGCCGATGATATTCCTAAGAGGTGTACGCGTTCCCAGGCAGAAAAAATACAGAAGAGTCACGACTGCGGATGCTCATCTACGTATAAAGTGTTTCTGTGCAGAAACGGCAGAGGATGGGCGAAAATTGGTCGCGTGTCAAACTTGATTCGAACGATGGCTAACCCTAAGTCAACCCCCCTAAAGGCACTATCATCGTCATAATCGACGTTGCCAACTACCTAGCCAAGCCCTAGCCATGGCAAGAATTCCCGGGTCAGTGGCCACTGGATCAGATCGACCGTAGGCCCCTCTGTCATCCGTCTTTGAGATCCTAGCCGGAAGTACCTAAGTAAGGAAGGATAGGAACACAGAACCCTCAATCAAGCCTTGATCGCAAATGTGAAAAAGCAGAGAAACTGGCATATCAAGTTGGGTTTTCCTCCACGCACAAACCAAAGAAACAAGAACCCCGATTTCGACTCAGAAATCAAAACCTCTGAGTTGCCGAATCCCTGGACGAAACCAACTAGTTGAAGGGGAAAAAACTCGTCGCGGCTCAAAGAGAGGGGATCTTCTCGCGGGCCGTCCAGTGGGAAAAAGAAAATCGAAATAGAAAAAGAGAACGAGACCGACTGGGATTGGACTCGTCCTTGGGGGAAGTCTGTGATTCAGATATCTCATACCCCGGCCGAGTAGGAGTGCTGTTGGTTGTTGCTCGCAAGTGTGCCTATTCTCTTTATTGCCGACTGGTTGATCGTTGTCGTGTGTGGAGATCCATGATGATGAACACCAGACAAGTAGAGAGTAGTGACCAGATAGACCACAAGGCCGGCTTTGCTGTATGTGCGGTGGACGAAGAAAAAAAGAAGAGTCGGCCGACCAGAAGAAACTCACCCCCCCTACAACACCTCCCCGGAGTCCTGGCTATCCCAGTTCAACTGCGAGGTATGAACGTCGTCGTCATCATCCTCATCCTCATTCCCATTATGAATAAGGGTATCCGTCCAGTCCTCGGCCTCCTCGAGCTTGATCTTCTTCCTGGCGCTCGCCTTGCTGGGGGTCTTGACCTCGATAGCCGATTCGTCTTCATCAGCACCATCACCATCGCCATCACCACCTTTGCCATCTTGGTGGCCCTTTCCGGTGGCGACGACAGCACCGTCTTCATCTCCATCGTCATCATCACCACCCTCGTCGTCTTCGTCTCGGTTGAGGGTAGCAGCGGCAGAGGCGATGGTCTGTTCGGCCTTCGTCTTGCTAGAACGATCGCGCTTCCTGCTGCTGCCTCCGATGCCAACGGACGGCGAGTTCGGGCTTCCGGGTGTCTTCTTGGCGCTGCCGCCGTTCTTCTTCTTGCCGGTGCCCTTGCCGGCCGGGGTCGAGGGGACCGAAGAGGTGGGGCCGTTGCCATTGCCGCTGAAGAGCTCCGGGTGGTCGGCCCTGATCTTCTTAATGACGACCTTGGTCCATCGCTGGCTAAATTGGTGTAAGTATGAGGGATAGATGAGAAGAAGAAGAAGAAGAGGTAAAGTAGTACATGTAGTAGCTACCGAGGTAAGGTGAGGAAGGAAGGAAGGAAATGAGGGTAGAAGGTATGTAATGGGCAGGACCTCGGGATAAGTATCAAGACTGAATCAGGCAGACGAGACAATGGAACATGGTGTTGTGCCGAGTAGCGGGGATGAGGGATGAGATGGAGGACATGGAGATGAAAAAGTGTTTTGGGATATTTTACTAACCTGACGGCGTCCTTGGTGGTAGAGTGGCCGAGTTTGTTCATAGTGTCGACGACGGTGGCCCAGGATGGTCTGAGCTTACTCATGTCGCCTCCGGTAGCGGACAGGACGACGGCGGTCCAGAGGTCGCGCTCGGCCTTCTCGTTCCAGGTGATACCCATATTGATGGTTGGTTGGTGCGGCAAGGAACTGAGAGGGAGGGAGGGAGAAAGTGGTTGTGCTTGACGAGGACGTGGTAAAAAGTCGTCAGATGATAAGTATCAGAGGAAAGAACCGCGAGGGTAGAGTAGATGGATGAGGAACTGAGACGGTGGGTGGTGTCGAGGTTCTGGGTAATGTCGAGGTTCTGGGTGGTGGTGGTGGTATAAGTTGGTGGTGTGAAAGGCGTGGGAACTTCAGCTGCGTCCACACAAGGTTGGTATGAGAAGGAAGGAAAGTAAACTGCAAACAATGTTGGCGTGGTTGCAGGTAGACGTGCTACTTTATGGACAACGTCAGATGTGGAAGGGTGACCGTGATGGTTGCTGGGAAATGCGGCAGGCCAAGATAGCGGGACGTGAAGACTTGATGGGCAGGCTCGAGTGACAAACGCCAGTGCACCTTCCAAGGTCTCGAGTCTCGGGAACAGGGCTTGCGACTAGGGACTTGTCGATACAATGTCGGTTAAGATTCTGATAATATTTAGCTATCACCTCCCTATTGTATATACCTTAGTGTATCATGACAGTTCACTTTTACAATGTCATAATACACGTGAGCCATACTATTACTATATCATCGTCTCCTGAGTGATCTCTTCCGTAGATAATAGGAGTATATTGAACACTCGATATGATTTCAGACCTAGGGAGCATGACACAGAAAGGTAGGCTGGGCGGCATATGCAGCTTCCCCTCCCAGGAGATGAGCTAATGAGACAAATGTGATATAATGTCAGCAGCTGCCAATGCTTAAGACGGAGTACTTTTCTGAACGATATAATCTACATATCAATATGCGTGCTAGCTTCACGAGAATTCACGTTCGACCTCCCCTGCGCAGATCTCTCTGGTAGCCTCTCAGTCTCAAGGCTGCCCATCCTTGGCGCCACCTGCAGCATACTGAATTGGGCAAAGCTAAACTACACCCTGGCCGTTTGAAGCAAACAACGAGGCTGGGAGCAAAAGTCCCCAAGCCACCGAATCATCGATACGGACTTTGACGAGGGACCCCAACGGGTTCAGGTATAGCGTAAATTGTGCTCCAACCGCTTCTCAGCTCCAGAGGCGCCCATGGAGTATGATAGCTTGCAGTCGACTAGCCCGTGCCTGCGGCTGGCTGCTCTACTCGAGCTCGTGATGTCGTAATGTCACAGAATGCGTCGTAGACGCCGCACGAGAACATGTGCAAACACGAAGTCGATTGTATGCCTCTGCATTCGCAAAGACAGACAGACGCATGTCTGCGCGTCCATGACTCTCTACCCAAACCTCTTCCCAAAGGCCAACGTGCCTCCGACGAGTTTCCCAAGTATATACCCGCCATAGATTCCACACAGTATGGTGACCGGCCACTTCTGCCACTCGCGGTCCCAGTCGAGAGGAATCGGTACCGCACCGAGCCACGCCCCCAGACAAGCGCCCATCAGACCACCAAATGCCTCGTCGAACGGTGCTCGAGCACTGAATATCTCGACCCAGTCCTGACTCGCCACGCCGCGGGTGTAAAAGAGCGGGAACAAGCTGAGGAGAGATAGATGCAGGGAGCAGAGGAAGGTATGAGGAATATGGGTTAGGAAAGGAGCTCCGAAGAGGACGAGGACGACGTGCAACGCTGCTCCGGACACCAATGATAATATTAGAGCGACAAGGGTTGTCTATACACTTTTGTTAGATTATATAGTATATGTAGATCGAGGGGCCGGGAGTCATACGACTGCGATATTGGGACCAGCGTTCTCGCCTGGTTTTCTCTTCTCGCCCGGTCGAAGCTTCTTCACCGGCTTTCCGGGCTGTGAGCCGACGGGCGGCAGACACAGAATGGCGTACGCTCCCTGGATCACCAAGATCACCGGCAGAGAGTTCCGCAGCGTCGACACCGGGTCGGCCACCAGGGCGTTGAAGCGAAGGAGGAAGAAGGAGATCAGCAGCGCGGCATGGGCATGGCTGACCGCCTGAGCCTGCGCGGACGGGAGAATCCAGATCGGCTGCGTAGCGGCTTCTCCATGCTTTTCTTTGGCTGATTGCGCCGTGCTGGACTTGCCGGATGGCGACGCCATCGTTACCGGATCTACTAGAGGCATTGTGAAGGAGCGTGACCCCAAAAGTTGTTGAGGTTGTCTGGCATGAATCAGATTATGAGCAGAAAAAGTGAATGAAACTTGAGGCTTGTGAGTCTCATCTCCAAACAAACAGCTCGGGGGGAGCTCCGTATCGATTAGATAAGATACACGTGCCGATAACGATAACACAACTTTGGAAGATAATTACATGGTTGGAATGAGGCAGGGCTGGTCATCTCACGGGCAGGCAACAGATGATTTCGGGACGAGAAAAGCATGCGAGGTGTTTTTGTAGACCATTGTTCGTTAAATTCATGACTAGGGTCACTAGAGTCATTGGTCATGCTCCAGGCAGCTGAAGGTGTTGCTGCCACCAAAGGGTGCAAAGTATCTACGGATCCTCATGACGCACGATATCTAGTACCTAGGTACCTGGGTTTTGTATCTTCCATCAAGCAATGCAACTGTGACTTTGGCAAGTATGACTCCCTGTTCCTATTCCTATGATACTCTAGGAAGCAGCCTCCTCGGCCTTGGGGAGCAAGTTGCGGAGGGATAGGTCGTAGATGACATCCTCCACCTTCTTGACGTGATACTTGACGGCGTCGACGCGCTTTCGTACGATGTCGTTCTTGAGGTTCAGGAGCTGGAAGCCGGCGAACAGGTCCTTGATGAAGCTGCTGATGCGTACGGTGAGTTCGATGTCACCCAGGGTGACCGAGTTCATGGCCAAGC